CACATACAAAGGTATATATACCAACATAGAGGTATGTTACATATATACAAATAAAGGGGTACACTTATGTACTTATATATATAAATAAAGGGGAATATTTATTTACTCTATATATATATATAAATAAAGGGGTACATTTATGTACCCTATATATATAAATAAAAGGGTACATTTATGCATATATGAGTACCCTGCTCCAGGGAAATCAGCTCCACTGCCAGCAGGTGTCCAGGCATCCAACACCCAAATAAATCCATGCTACCAGCAGGGAAAACTCTGCAGCCCAAACCCAGAAAGTGCCCGGGGCAAATCCAGCCCCACTTCACTCCTCCACAGCTCTGCTGCTACCATTACTCACATCTTTGGCTTGACCCTGAAATGCACTGGTAAGAATACCAGACTTGAGAAGTTTTATAACAGCTTCACCTTAAAATCACTTTTAATTCTGTAAAAATTTTATAAAAATACTTCTATTATATGTATAGAGGTATATTTTATAAATATACTTGCCCAGGCATGAAACTTGGGCAATGACAGGTGGGAATTAAAGTTGCCTGCTTTTCTCTAACCATTCCATGTATTCATAGTATTTCAGTGGGCTCTTTCAAAGAATCACAGTAACACTTCTACCATATTGATGTGGCACATGAAAAGGAAATTAATAAAACTAGCTGTGCTCAAATGCCGCCTGATTAGAGCTGTGGCATTGCTGATCAACGCGAATCCCTTTAAAGTGACGAAATGGATTTGTGCTCTCACCTGGAGAAACACAGAAAACAACGGAGCAAAACAAAGGAAAAGCCAAATGAAAACGGTAAAAAGCAGCAGAGTGCTCACCTGTACCAGGGCTGGGGGGGCAGTTCCAGCTCGGGAGAGAAGGGAGGCTCCGGCAGCAGAGGGTCCCAGCTCTGAACACCCCGGTGCTCCCTGGCCACGCTGTTTTAACGCCCCCACGGCTGCCCCACCTGGGCCTGCCCCACCTGGGCCTGCCCTCCTGGTTAATCATTGGGCATTGCCTCATCCCCGGCCCCAAACACAGCCCCAGAGTGCTCCAAGGGCTCCTCACAACCTTGCCGGGCACAGAAAGAGCCAAAGGTGATGGGTGGAGGGTGCCCAGAGGAGGGACAGGGCATGGGGAAGGGTCTCACAGCAGAGCTGGGGGTTTGTCCAGCTGGAGCACACTGAGGGACACTCACCAGGGGCTGCAGCTCCCAATTCTGCTCCCTGTGAGCCGAAGGAACAGCTGGGGCTGTGCCAGGGCAGGGCTAGGCTGGGTATAGGAGAAAAACAACTACCTAGAACTTTCCACCTGTGGATGTAGAATGACAGAACTGTGGAACATCCTGAGCTGGAAGGGACACACAGGACCATCCAGGCCAGCTCAGACACCCCAAAATCCCACCCCGGGCATCCCTGGCAGCCTCGGTGGAAGGTGCCAGCACCTTCCCTGGTGCCAGCGCCCTCCAGGGAAGAGCTGTTTCCCATTATCCAGCCCAAACCTCCAGAGAGCAAAATAAGAGCCTGTATTTACAGCTATCCCAGTTTGCTGAAACACTCGAGACTGTCTGAATCCCACTGTCTTGGAGAGATTTTGGCATCACTCAAACACTTTGCTGAACATTTCCTGCCTGCTAAACTGGAACAGACTCCACTCACGCTTCAGATACTTTCAAACACAGCACTTCTTCTCATTCTAAACTTCTTCAAGAATATTTAAGAGAATGGAAGGGCAAGAACAAATATTGGTTTGCCAATCTGCTTTTAAAACTTGACTGGTTTGAGCACCTCAGGGCAGCTCTCAGCCCCTCGGCGGGACCGGACCCCGACTGTTCCCAGGATCGCGAAGCTGCCCCGGGACAGTGGCAGGGTGGGACGGAGCAGGGATGGGACGGAGGAGCGATGCCCGGGCCCGGNGGGAGCCCCAGGTCCGAGAGGGAGTCGGAGCAGACCGAGGCAGGGGACAGGGACCTCTCCTTCTCCTCCAGCAGGTCCAGCTTCACCAGGGAGCTGGTCTCATCCTCAGAGTTGTCCTCGGACACGGAGCCGATGATGAAGCGCGAGTGAGCGTTGGCATCCACAGCCTTGCTGGCCTCAGAGGAATCCTCCATGGCTGCCCCAAACTGGGCTCTCAGCACTGCAGGACAAAGGACAAAACCAGAGCCGAGTGAACAGCCACCCCTGGAGGGCAAAGCAAGGGGCACTGGTGGGAAATGAAATGGTAAAAGGGCAGAGCTGAATTCTGAGTGTGGGATCAAAACCAGCTCTGCTCCAAGCACTGATTTCCCTGCTTGCACAAGGACTCTGAGATTCACAAGCTGCAGAACCTCAGACAAAGCTAAAGGAAAAAAAAAACCCACCAAAATAACCCCACACACCAGACCAAAACGTACAGACAAAGGCAGGGGACTCCAAGTATCAAAATTCACAGGATCAGAGAATCTCTGACTGGTTTGGGTTGGATGGGACCTTAAATCTCAACTCATCCCCTACACTTCCACCAGTCCAGGCTGCTCCTGGCCTTGGGCATTCCCAGGGATGGCTCTGTTCCAGTATTCCAGCAGGGAATGAAAGCATTTTCTTAAAAGTCAAAAGAATAATTTCAACTGAGAAAGGAAAACAAAGGAACACCCCAGAGCACGAAGGTGGGATGGGGAATAAACATTTGATCCCCCTGCTCTGGCTGACTTTGCTGCACTCCCATGGCAGCTCCAGCCAGCTGCAAACACACCATTGGGAACTGAGGAGGGCACTCACCTCTGGATATCCGTGCAATCTGCGCACTGAGCCACTTCCAAAACGAACTGGAAAAGAAAAGGATTGGGAAGTAAACATCAGGGTTATAATGAACATATCCCATGTGTGTTTTCCTGTTTACACAGTCAAAACCATCCCAAAAAACCCCACAGGCTGGCAGGCTCGCTCCAGGCACAGACTAACCCAGGAGCTAAATCTGCAGTGCCCAAATCCAGCCCTGGCAGGTCCTGCTGGTCCATCCTTCTGGAATCTTCTGAGACCTGCCAGGAACAGCGGGGTGTGCCAGCACTATCCACTGGTACCAAACCTCTCCTGTCACCTTCTGGCTGCTTCCAGCCGAACCCCAGGGAGGGAAAGGCTCATCAGCCCTGCTAATTCCAGCCCCGTTAGCCAAGGGTGCAGCACCAAAACCTGGCCCGTGGTGTCACAGCAATGATGGGACCTTAGCAAGGCCCAGAGGGGTATTTATAGCCAGAGCAATCCCCAAACACCCCACTGCTGCTCTCATCAGGGACTGAGAGCTGAGAACCCATCCAACTGGCTCATGCACTCCTGCCACCAAGGTGCCTGGCTGAATTATTCAGATCCAATCCCGTGTTGACATCACTCCTCCCACAAACTCCACTTGCCCTGTGGCCACGGGCACTTCATTTGGCAGAGGCATCATTAACCATTTTATAACTGAAAAGACACAAACATCTGTCTGACATGGACATTAAAAGCATTAAAAAATGCATTTTTTGAGGGTAGAATGAGAAGAAGGGGAAGCATGACCAGGAAGTTTCCCTGTGCACCTGTGATGTGAAAGCTCAACCAGGCAGGGAGATTCTTTAGCTGAGGGGCTCAGACAGCACAAATCCAATCCTGTTTGTGCATACAAAGATGCAGACAGTATTTATGTGGATATTTATCCTGGCAGCAGATCCCTCCTCAAGTTTTTCATCCAGACACATTTACTGTTGGCACCGAAGAGGCTGGGATACAGCCAAACTAACTTCAGCCCAACTTCATTGAAGAAAACCTTTCCTCATTTCAATAACTAATACATTAACGAGCAAGTTTCAAGGATTTGGGGTTTTTCAGAAGCAGGGGAACAGGAAGGGATGTGTTTCACTCAAATATTTCATGAGAAACTATTCAACCAAGGCCAGGCAGTGCCACGCTCACCCAAGTTCACTCCAGCACCTTGTTTGTCTGACTCAGCTCCCAAAAACCAGGCTAATATCCACGAAACCCCACTCAGGTCCATTTGCCAAGGCACTTCCCAGCCCTGGGAGCCAGTCCCACAGGCAGCAGTTCCGCTGGGGTTGTGCAATCAGTGCTGCAGTGATAAGCTTGGCTTGTTCTCAGCACACCGAGAGGCCTCGTTCATATTTAAATTAATTTCAGCATTGTCCGGGGCTAAATTACACAGGGACTTTCTCAGGGATCTCCTCACTGGATTTCAGTGCTGGCAGTGAAATGCACAAGGCTGTGCACAGGTATATTTCATATACAGAA